TTTTTTTTTTTTTTTTTCACAACGATAGAAGGATACTCATACCAAAAAATAAATCGTCTTACAATCGAGGACTAACTAGCCCAATATCACAAGGATACAAACTAAGGATAATACCATTATCCTTAAGAATCAAGCAAGAATACAACACTATACTAACAGAAAGCTAACACAAAACAACATCAATCACTAATTACCCTAACTGAAAGCAACATAATAAAGTTGAGCCTTCCAGTTAGAAAATTCAGCACCAGCAACACAGCCCCAATTTCCTAAGCATCAATATTAGACAGCAATGAGACTTGAACCACTGAACCCCAGGACCTAGTCCAACCTTCATTACTCCCTGTACAATTAGCTTCTGGCCACTCTAAACTCCCACCATTCTTTCCAGGCTGAGTTAACAATTGCAACCTCTGGCATTAATGAGTTCTGAAACTTCCATAGATTTCTAGATTTCCATAACCACCATAATAGATAAGTGGTTAATTGAATCCTATCCTCAGAGATTTGCAGCTTGTTAACAGAGCATATTTGGCCCCACCACCTTCTGAAAATGAGATTCTGATCCTCCATCCCTTCCCAGTGAATAGGAGCAATCTTCCATATCCTTTTAGCTCTACTGCAATGGAAAAACAAATGTTCCAAACTCTCTTCACTTTCCCCACAGCATTGACAAATTGTATCCACTTCCATACCCCTCCTTTTCAAGTTCAGACTAGTAGGAAGGACATCATTAATACATTTCCAAATGAAATGTTTAAGTTTACTCTTAATCTTCAAATTCCAGCTCCTATTTCTCACCTTCCTCTCTGAGTCGGCTGATGAACTTCCTTCAGCTATATCCAAAAGTCTAAACTTCTTCAGAATGAGAGCTTTATAGGTCTTTCCCACAGAAAAAACCCCTTCACTGTTTAGAGACCAAATCCATCTGTCTTTCCCAGTATAATCTACCCTTCTGTTGCTCAGAATTGCCATTATATCCTTTTCCTCAAACAGTTCTTGTAAAATATCCAGATTCCAACTCCTACCACCCTCTGTCATCAACTGGTTCACTGTCTGCAACTGGCAATTAACCCCATTTTTCAGAGTAGGGTAGCCTGGACAATGATTCAAGATCCAAGGCTCTGACCAAATATTAGTTGATGTACCATCTTTGATTTGCATTCTGAAATACTGTTTGTACTTGTCCCTTACTGACAACCAGCTACACCACAACCAGGAAGCAGAAGAATTCTTTTTAGCCTTGAGAATAGAATCTTTAGGAAAGTACCTGCCTCTCAATACTTTGGACACTAGTAAATTGGGATGAGACAGGATTCTCCAAATTTGCTTGAGGATCAGTGCCTCATTGAACAAAGCCAAGTCCTTAAATCCAAGTCCACCCAGATCTTTAGGTAAGGCAAGCATCTTCCAAGATTTCCAGTGAACTCCTTTGGAAACCTCCTGTCCATTACTCCACCAAAACTTAGCTGTCAGTTTGATGATATCCCTGCAAATTCCCAAAGGTAAACTGAAGCAAGACATAGAAAAAACCGGGAGAGCATCAATAACTGCCTTAATCAAGACTTCTTTTCCAGCGGTAGAGAGAAAATTAGATTTCCAGTTAATCAATCGCTTCTGAACTGCTTCAATCACATAAGAGAAAACTTCTCTCTTAGACTTTCCAATACCTAGAGGTAACCCGAGATACCTGGTAGATTTTTGAACTTGAATACCCTGAAAAATCCCACAAATATTTGCCTGCATGTCCCTGCTAGTACTCTTGCTGAAAAACACTGATGACTTGCTTAGGTTTACCTTCTGCCCAGTAAATTTCTGATATTTATTCAGTACTAACAACAAAGCATTAGCCTGGTCAACCTCAGCAGAAGTAAAAAAGAGAGTATCATCCGCAAACATGAGATGAGTAACTTTAGGCCCCAATTTCCCCATTTTAATCCCAGAAAACTGCCCTTTATCAGAAACATCTTTCAGCAACATGGACAGAACCTCAGACACCAAAATAAAAATATAGGGGGACAAAGGGTCCCCCTGTCTTAAGCCCCTAGAAGCTTTCACAAAGCCCCTCACCTCCCCATTCAGATTAAAAGAAAACACAGTAGAAGAAATACATGCTAAAACCCATTTCACAAAGACTGAATGAAATCCCATCTTTCTCAGAATTTTTTTAACACACTCCCATTCAATTCTATCATAGGCCTTCTCCATATCTACTTTAACAGCCATGATTCCTTTTTTACCAACCCTGTGCCTATTCAGGTAATGAACAGCCTCTTGAGCTATAATCACATTATCCAACAATTGTCTACCAGGAATGAAGGCACTTTGATTAGGACTGATACAGAATTTGAGACAGTTTTTCAGCCGGGAAGTCAAAATTTTAGAAATAATTTTATAAGACACCCCACAAAGACTAATAGGCCTAAAGTTCCCAATAGAAGAAGGGTTCAGACATTTAGGAATTAAAGAAATTACAGTATGATTCCAGTTTTGGAGCAGTTGCCCAGAGGAAAAAAAACTGACAATGGCCTCACACAAATCAGATTTAACCACATCCCAAAAATATTGGAAAAAGATAGGGGACATACCATCTTGCCCAGGGGCCTTTCCTGGGTCCAAATTAAACAGAGCTTCTTTGATTTCCTCTTCAGCAACAGGAGACACCAATTCATCATTCATTTCCTTTGTGATAGTAACTGGAATAAGATTAAGAATCTCAGTATCCCCCTCAGAGCCTTCAGTAGTAAACAAGTCCTGATAAAACTGACAGATGCACTGTTCAATATCTTTTAAATCTTCCCACACTTCACCTCCATCCCCTTGCAGCCTATGGATTTGATTGGATTTCCTTCTCTGAAGAGTAAGAGCATGAAAATATTTGGTATTTGAATCCCCCTCCTTAAGCCACTGACTCCTGGACTTTTGATGCCAATACTCTTCTTCTGTTAAATTAATTTTATCCAAACATACTTTCAGCCTTTCCCATTCTGACCAATCTCTGTCTGCCCCCATCCTACTCAATACTTCCATTTTCTCAGGTATCCTTTGTTTTTCCTGAATCTCTGCAGCTCTAAACCCTTTGCTCCATTTCAGTAAAGCCACTCTAGCTTCTTTAATTTTTTCAGATACTTTGAACATGGGAGTACCCTCTTTTCTCACCTCCCAAGCCTCAGTCACCACCTCCTTGATGCCCTCTCTCTTAAGCCATCTTTTGTCAAAGAAAAATCTCCTCTTTCTTTTGGCCTCCTGATGAACAGAATCCACCAATACCAGTAATCTATGATCAGAAGCACTTCGAAAGACTGACTGAACTTCTGCCTCTGATTTCAGGGCCAACCAGTCAAATGAACAAAATATCCTGTCAATCTTCTCCTCAATAAATCCTTCATGCTCCCTGTTATTTGCCCATGTAAACTGATGGCCTTTGCAATGAATTTCCTGCATTTCCATTTTAGCCACAAACTCATTAAACCCTGCACAGTCTCTCACAGTTTTAGGTCTGCCCCCACATTTATCCTCCGGAGCTCTTATGGCATTCCAATCCCCTCCAATCACCCAGTACTTTCCCCATTTAGCCTTAGCTCGACAAAGCAGGTCCCATTGGTCTTCTCTGGTGCTTTTATCCACACTCATATATACAAAAATCAACCACAGAGAAGGAAACTCAGGCATACACTCCACTTCAACCTCAAAACAGAATTTATGCTCCACAATTTGCTTGATAACCACATCTTTCTGCCAAAGAAGCAGAATACCTCCACTAAGCCCTTGTGGATCAACAGCTTTCCAACAATCTTTAAACCCTATCTTCTTACAGACTGACTTAACAAAATCCTTCCTTTTTTTTGTTTCTGAAATAAAGAAAAAGCTCGGGTGATGGAATCGAGTTGATTCCTTGATTTGGGAAATTGTAGAGGGTCCACCCAACCCTCTACAATTCCACACCATGAGCTTCATTTGGAAACTTGGGCCCACTCAAGGCTGGCCACCTCCACCTTTGAATCTTCAAACTTTTGCTTTTTTGAGTCTCTTTCTGCAATCACTTGAATCCCAGCATTTTCTTCCACTCCCTCTTCATCAAGATTAAATCTCCTCTTATTGGTTGGCAATGGACACTGACCAACATTCTCCTGGTTTAACTGGTGCTTCTTGCCACTTAATCTTTTCCATCCTCTAATCAAAGGAGATTGTTTCTGTTCTTGCGGATTCCTCTTATTTTCCCCCTCTGGCAGTTCAATTGGTACCTCCACAAGAACTTCAGTTTCCATAGCAGACTCCCCAACCCCTAGCTGAATTTTCTCCTCCTCACCAGTTATTTTGTCATTCCTTTCAAGCATTAAGTCTGAGGATCCTCTGAAGGTAACAATGTCTTCCTCCATTTCAGCATTACTCAGCTCCACATTCTTAGCATTCTCCACTTGAGTCACCTTGATAGTTTGAGAATGCGAGTTGCTTCCGGATGTTTGATTTTCTGCCGACCGTCCAGTTGGAATATTGGATAGCAGCTGATTTTTGAGAATTTCTTCAGATGACTGACTAGTTGGAGAGCTAATACTTGGGGGTTTACTCACCATAAGACTATCCACAGCCTTCATCCAGTCCCCAAATTGCCCCTCTTTCACATTCCCAGTATTAATGTCTTTACACCTTTTCTCACAAGCTCTTTCTAGATGCCCAATAATACCACAATAGTAACAGGTATTGATCAATCTTTCATACTGAAAAGTAACTTGCTGTACTGAATTATGAAGCTTGATGCTAGCACATCTGGGTAGTGGCTTGGTTACATCTACTCCCACCAGAATTCTCAGATAACTGCCTCGACTACCTCCTGCTTTGACCACAATCACATTCTGAATTTGGTTAAAGATCTTCCCAATTTTCCTACCAACTTCAGTGCAGAGCCAGTTCAACGGTATGTTATTCACTTGCACCCATAATTTTAATTCTGTGAATGTCTTATGCTGTTCATGAAGCCCTTCCTCCCATTCGCGCAGTATTAAATACTGGTTTTCAAATATCCAGTTGACTCCAGCCACCACTTTTTTCTTATCTTCCTTATTTCCAAAGATAAACTGAAAGAAATTGTTTTTGAGCTCCTTTACCTCCATCGGGCTTTTAATTTGCCAAATGTTGCTCATTGTTCGTCGTATGCCCAACAAGCTTGCTTTCCTGTCTCCAATGACTTTCCCAAACAAACTATATTCACACTCTTCCGCACTGGTCTTTATATCCAAATCACGCAATTCGATAGCTGTCACCTCTGATTCGGATAAATCAATCCCCTTAAGCTTGCTATTCAGATCATCTGGAATGCCTGATGAATTGGTGTCTTCTACCGCTTCCGATTCCATCGCGAAACCTGCAATTGAACACAGAAAAGAAACAAACTCTCAAAACCCTACCCTCCCCCCAGAAAGGAAAGGAACAACAAGGACCCTAATCAACGAAAACCACACTCGAGACCCTAATTACTCCCACGACCACCCTCAGATGGAATGAAAACCCTACCCTCCCCAGAAGGAATAAGCGCCCCCCTAAGAAGGAATTTTTGGATTTTTACTCACATCAAAAAATGGTGCCGTGTTCGAAAACAAGCCATTCCGGAGCCGTTAATTATTTTTTC